GACACCAGGGGGGGTGCGTAGGGGGTGGTCTCTCACCGCGGCCCCTATGCGTGCCAGGGTCGGAGAGCGTGGCAGGCGTGGCACTTTCTCGACACCAGAGAGGGTGCGCAGGGGGTGGTCTCACCGCGGCGTCTATGCGTGCCAGGGTCGGAGAGCGTGGCAGGCGTGGCACTTTCTCGACACCAGGGGGGGTGCGCAGGGGGTGGTCTCTCACCGCGGCGTCTATGCGTGCCAGGGTCGGGGAGCGTGGCAGGCGTGGCACTTTCTCGACACCAGAGAGGGTGCGCAGGGGGGGGTCTCTCACCGCGGCGTCTATGCGTGCCAGGGTCGGAGAGCGTGGCAGGCGTGGCACTTTCTCGACACCAGGGGGGGTGCGCAAGGGGTGGTCTCTCACCGCGGCGTCTATGCGTGCCAGGGTCGGAGAGCGTGGCAGGCGTGGCACTTTCTCGACACCAGAGGGGTGCGCAAGGGGTGGTCTCTCACAGCGGCGTCTATGCGATCCAGGGTCGGAGAGCGTGGCAGGCGTGGCACTTTCTCGACACCAGAGAGGGTGCGCAGGGGGTGGTCTCTCACCGCGGCGTCTATGCGTGCCAGGGTCGGAGAGCGTGGCAGGCGTGGCATTTTATCGACACCAGGGGGGGTGCGCAAAGGGTGCTTTCTCACCGCGGCGTCTATGCGTGCCAGGGTCGGAGAGCGTGACAGGCGTGGTGGCACTTTCTCGACACCAGGGGGGGTGCGTAGGGGGTGGTCTCTCACCGCGGCCCCTATGCGTGCCAAGGTCGGAGAGCGTGGCAGGCGTGGCACTTTCTCGGCACCAGAGAGGGTGCGCAGGGGGTGGTCTCCCTATGCGTGCCAGGGTCGTCCAGGCATTGCAGGCGTGGCATTTTCTCAACACCAGAGAGGGTGCGCAGGGGGTGGTCTCCCTATGCGTGCCAGGGTCGTCCAGGCATAGCCTCTAGTGCGGGATTGCGTATTACCTCTTGTATCCAAGTGCCAGGCGGCGCCGGATATGACCGTCACAGATGACTCCTCAACCCCTCCTCTCCCCCCACACGTCCTCCCCGTCCTTTCAACGACCACAGGGGGCACCTGAGAGCATGACGGCGGTGGTAGTGGTAGCGCGGTGCACACAAGACATAAACTCAGTATGTGGGGTTCCTCGGTAGCGTAATTTAGAACTCTTGGGGGCTTCTTGGGGGGTCTCTTTGGAGCCTGTTGGGAGCCCTTTGGGGGCTCTCTTCGGGGCCTCGTGGGCGATCTTGAGGCGATCTTGGAGGCCTCTGGGGCACTCTTCGAACGTCGGAAAGCCGAAAGGGCGAGACGGCCAATTACGCTACCGAGGAATCCCACATACTTAATTTAAATCTTATGTCAACGCCTGCTACGCTGTCACGCTCTCCGACCCTGGCACGCATAGACGCCGCGGTGAGAGACCACCCCCTGCGCACCCCCCCTGGTGTCGAGAAAGTGCCATGCCTGCCACGCTCTCCGACCCTGGCTCGCATAGACGCCGCGGTGAGAGACCACCCCTGCGCACCCTCCCTGGTGTCGAGAAAGTGCCACGCCTGCCACGTTCTCCGACCCTGGCTCGCATAGACGCCGCGGTGAGAGACCACCCCTGCGCACCCTCTCTGGTGTCGAGAAAGTGCCACGCCTGCCACGCTCTCCGACCCTGGTTCGCATAGACGCCGCGGTGAGAGACCACCCTTGCGCACCCTCTCTGGTGTCGAGAAAGTGCCATGCCTGCCACGCTCTCCGACCCTGGCTCCCATAGACGCCGCGGTGAGAGACCACCCCTGCGCACCCTCTCTGGTGCCGAGAAAGTGCCACGCTTGCCACGCTCCCCGACCCTGGCTCGCATAGACGCCGCGGTGAGAAGTCACCCCTGCGCACCCTCTCTGGTGTCGAGAAAGTACCACGCCTGCCACGCTCTCCGACCCTGGCTCGCATAGACGCCGCGGTGAGAGACCACCCCTGCGCACCCTCTCTGGTGTCGAGAAAGTGCCACGCCTGCCACGCTCTCCGACCCTGGCTCGCATAGACGCCGCGGTGAGAGACCACCCCTGCGCACCCTCTCTAAGCTGTGCCGTGCTGAGCTGAGCTGAGCTGTGCTGTGCTGAGCAGTGCTTTGGTGAGGTGAGAAAGAAGGAAAAAGAGAGGGAGGAGGAGGAGACGCGGGTGAGACGCGGAAGGGAAGAAAACCAGAACCCCACGAAGCATGTGGGGAAAAACCTTAAGAACCGAACTGTAGAAAAACAATACGTTTCGTCTCCCAGGACCCTCGCGGGGGGCCTCGTGGAAGTTTCTTAAGCCTTTTTCGAAGTTGTTTGTGCCGTCTTGGGGCCATCTTGGGCGGTTTGGGGCGATCTGTAGGTGTCTCGGGCCCCCCGTAGGCCCCACTTGATCTCGTCGTGGGGCGTTCGTGGGCCTTGTTGTGCGCCTCTTGGGCCGTCCTTGGGCCCTCTTGGGCCGTCTTGAGCCGTCTCGGGGCGGTATTGGCGGTGTTTAGGGCCCTCGTGGAGCGTCGGAAGTTTGAAAAGGCGAAAAGGCTGAAAACTTTTGACATCTAACCAAAAACGATAATTGTTGTCTCGTGGGGGGCCCTTTGGGGGCCTCTTAGAAGCCTCTTGGGCTGTCTTGGCGGCCTCTTGGGCTGTCTTGGCGGCCTCTTGGGCCGTCTTGAGGCCATATTGGGCGGTTTGGGGCGACTTGACGGGGCTGTTAACCTCTGCCACCGGAGGCCATTGGGCTCGGGATTCCAGTGCATTGGCCAATGTAGGTTAGCTTGCTGTATGTTTGCCGCTTTCGCTTGTGGCTGTAACCGTGCTTACCGTCAACAGAAGACCTACCCGCGAAGTAAAAGGCCGCCCATGTTACCCATGGAAGTGCGTGCACGGGAATGGTTTGTACAAGGGCGTCGTTCGGGGTGTCGCCTGTTACCCTCTTGCCGCCCCGGGCTGAAGGGTTTCAATGCGGTGGCCAATATATGCTTAGGTTGATGTCTATTTGCCGTTTTCGCTTGTGGCCGTAACCGTGCTTAACGACAATAGAAGATTTACCCAGGAAGGAAATATAGGCCGGAAGGGGGACGGCGGAGACACATAAGCAAGTGGTTCGTCAGCAGGTGTACATCGTCTCTTTTATCCCTCGATGGCAGAAGTTCTGGGGCATTCGAGGACCTTCCAAATCGACGAAGAGCGTGCCCCAAGAAGTCCCATAACAAGGTGTATTGTCGCACGTGTCCACTGCACCGGTGGAGAGGAGGCGAGGCGGTGGTCACCACAGGGGGGGTCACCACAGGGGGGGGGGTCACCACCTCCTCTTGAGCACCTGGGACCGAGGACGAGGGAGGATTGCTCTTCGCGGCGGTTTTGCACGATGTTGGGTGCTTGTGGGGGCCCCGCATCGGACAGAGGGCGCCTCGCGGAGAGGGGACTGGCTCGTTCTTCCTCCCTCTCTTGTTCCCTCTCGTTCTCCCCTGTCCTCGTCCGCCCCACCTCCCCAACGTTGTGTCTGGACTTGGGCCCCCCATTCGTTCAGCCCTGCCACGCAAGTTCTGCCCATAAGGGGCACCGTCTTGGACCCAACCGAAAGTCAGTGCTAATCCTCCTCCCCCTTCCCCACCCCTCCCCTCATTCTCCGCCCCCCTCCCCATCCTTCCCCCAGCCTCCTCCCGTCCTCCGTCTCCTCCTCCTGCTGCTCCTCTTGCTCCGCCTCCTCCTCCTCCTCGTCCTCCCTCTCCCTCCAGCTTGCTCCTCCTGCTCCTCCTCCTCCTCCTCCTGCTCCTCCTCCTCCTCCTGCTCCCCCTCCTCCTCCTCCTGCTCCTCATCCTCATCCTCATCCTCCTCCTTCTCCATTCCTTTCCCTTATAAATAATTTCTCCCTGTCGCACCCCGAGGCCAGTTTTTAGGGCGGGCCGGGCGTTTCGCCTGAGACGTCCTCATCACTTATGACTCTGAAGTTTAAGAATTGGCAACCGTTTCACATATGGAGTGCGGGTGGTTTTCAAAATGTGGCTCTCGCTTAAGCGCCGCGCGCATTCGTTTTAGAAAATTGCTAAAGCTTCATGGGTTAAGGGATTGAGGATCACCCGTTTTCAAATTGTGGTTTTCTCCCTAGCGCCGCGCACATTCGTTGTAAACAATTTGCAAGAGCTTCACGGATTGAGGATAACCCGTTTTCAAAATGTGGTTCTCGTTGTAGCGCCGCGCACATGTGCTCTAAAAAATGCAAGAGCTTCACAGATTGAGGGCGGTTCCTTTTCAACATGTGGCTCTCGCTTCACTTCAGCGCCACGTACATTCCTTAAAAAATGGCAAGAGTTTCACGGTATCCCACGATCAATGTACCAGAAATGGCGTTTTGGAAGGATTCAGGATTTTGTGGAAGCAACATGTACGTTGATTCGCGGTGTTGAAATCCCAGGAATGACGTTCTGGCAAGATCCAGGATCGTCAAGACGCAACAGTCAGGTTGATCCGTGGGGCTGGAATCCCGAGAAAAATGTTTTGGCATGCTTCTGGGTCTTCAAACGGTTGTCTTCCAAAGAGGCAGATCCCTCAATGGAAATGAAACAGTTGTAGGGGCCGATGAAGAGGGAGCTAGGAGGGAGGGTGTATACCAACATCGTTGATGGCTCTTGGGTTTACGCTGGTCCTCCTCCTCCTCCTCCTCCTCCTCCTGCCCCTCCTCCCACAGACGGCCGTGCGTGGCCAGGCCAGCACAGCTCTCTAGCAGCAACCTTGGTATCGCTCGGACGTGTGCACTTTTTCTCTGCGGGGATTATTAAGGAGCACCCTGCATCATCCTGCGAAAAAACCACGAACGAAACCGGAAAAAAACGCAGGGAATGGACGTCCGAGCGACGGGGAGAAACCCCTTCTGCCCCAGGAGTGGCCCAGACGGCCTCCAGGGCACCCCTTCACGAGGCCCCGAGGGCCCCGCTCCGGAGCGGATCGAGAAGCTGGGAGCGCCTCGGGCCAGCTGGCAGCATCCCGCAGGACCTGCTGCGCCGGTACATCAGCGGCAACGAGGACATCCTGGTGGGCCTGTCTTCCACCACCACCATGAGCTGGAGGGGGGGAAGGAGGTGGAGGAGGAGGAGGAGGAGGTGGAGGAGGAGGAGCAGGAGGAGGAGGACGAGGAGGGGAGGAGGAGGAGGACGAAGACAGGAGGAGAGAGGAGGAGGAGGAGGAGGAGGATTGAGGAGGAGGATTGAGGAGGAGGACCCCCTCTCCCTCCAGCTCCTGGTGGTGGTGGTGGAACACGGGCCCATCACATCCGGGGCGCCCGGCGCTCCGCCGGCCGCCCGGGCGGCGGCGGCGGCCCTGCCGCGGGAGCGGGGCGGCCGCTGGACACGCCGGAGAAGGCGCGCACGTTCGCCGGTGCCGAGGGGGGGAGGAGGCGAGGGGGGGAGGAGGCGAGGGGGGGAGAGCGAGGGGGGTGGGAGGGGGGATAGCGAGGGGGGAGGGAGGGAAGCGGGGGCGGGAGGGCGGGGGAGGAGGGGAGGAGGGGGGGAGGGGCGAGGATGGGCGGGGGAGGGAGGGGGAGGCAAAGCCTAGGTGCGCTCGCGTATGTCTGACGTCCTACCCCTCCCTCCCATCCCTTACCTTGGCGCTGATTTTCTCTATCCGCGGACGCGTGTCGTAGCGGACCTGTGGCTCCGCGCGCGCGTGCGTAGTGGGTGGTGGTGCACGTGCGTGCGTGCGTGCGTGTGTGCGTGGTTGTCGTGGTGGTGGTGGTGGTGGTGGTTGTGGTGGTGGTGGTGGCGGTGGTGATGGTGGTGGTGGTGGTGCTGCTGGTGGTGGTGGTGGTGCTGGTGCTGGTGGTGTTGGTACTGGTGCTGGTGCTGGTGGTGGTTGTGGTGGTGGTGGTGGTGGTGGTGGTGGTGGTGGTGGTGGTGGTGGTGGTGGCGGTGCGGCGCGGTGGTGGCGGGCGGATGGGCGCGCGAGAAAAAGGCCCGCGCTGGGGCGAGAACGCCATCCTGAACGACGGAGGCCAACACCGATCCGAAAATGAGGCCCACGCTGCAGCGGGAGCACGATTCGGAACGATTCGGGAACAGAAATGAGGCCGGCGCCTCAACGAGAGCAGCATTTTGGGAAAAAATGTCGCCGGCGCCTCAGCGAGAGTCGTTTCCCGGGATTTCCCGGGCATCCTGTGTGTAAAAAAACCGTACGCGGAGGGTGCGCGGCCATCACCCGGACGCCATCAGGGGAAGAGGGAGAGTAATTTATCCATATTGAGTATTGCAAGGAGGGAAGCGGGGGGCGGGGGAGGGGGAGGGGAGGGAGCGGAAGGAGGAGGGGAGGGGGATTGCCAAGTTAGGTGCGCTCGCGTCAATATCTGACATCCTACCCCTCCCTCCCATCCCTTACCATGGCGCTGATTTTCTGTATCCGCGGACGCGTGTCGTAGCGGACCTGTGGCTCCGCGCGCGCGTGCGTAGTGGGTGGTGGTGCACGTGCGTGCGTGCGTGCGTGTGTGCGTGGGTGTCGTGGTGGTGGTGGTGGTGGTGGTGGTGGTGGTGGTGGTGGTGGTGGTGGTGGTGGTGGTGGTGGTGGTGGTGGTGGTGGTGGTGGTGGTGATGGTGGTGGTGGTGGTGCTGGTGGTGGTGGTGCTGGTGCTGGTGCTGGTGGTGTTGGTACTGGTGCTGGTGCTGGTGGTGGTTGTGGTGGTGGTGGTGGTGGTGGTGGTGGTGGTGGTGGTGGTGGCGGTGCGGCGCGGTGGTGGCGGGCGGATGGGCGCGCGAGAAAAAAGGCCCGCGCTGGGGCGAGAACGCCATCCTGAACGACGGAGGCCAAACACCGATCCGAAAATGAGGCCCACGCTGCAGCGGGAGCACGATGCGGAACGATTCGGGAGCAGAAATGAGGCCGGCGCCTCAACGAGAGCAGCATTTTGGGAAAAAATGACGCCGGCGCCTCAGCGAGAGTCGTTTCCCGGGATTTCCCGGGAATCCTGTGTGTTAAAAAACAGTACGCGGAGGGTGCGCGGCCATCACCCGGACGCCATCAGGGGAAGAGGGAGAGTATTTTTCATATTGAGTAATTGTGGAGGGGGGGGAGAGGAGGCAAGCTAGGTGCGCTCGCGTCATATCTGACATCCTACCCCTCCCTCCCATCCCTTACCATGGAGCAGATCCCCTCTCTACTCGCACAGTCGGATGTCGAGCAGGGCAATGATCCCGAAAGGGTACGCGATGCATTGTAGAGCACGGCATGGCATGGCGTAGAAGAGCACCGCAAAGCGTAGCATCAACCTAGCATTGCATCGCATGCCGTGGCATGGCACGGGAAATGACGCCAGCGCTGCAACGGGAGCACGAGTCGAAACGAGCGGAAGCGCGGAAATAAGGCCAGCGCTGCAGCGGGAGCACGATTCGGAACGAGCGGAAGCACGGAAATGAGGCCAGCGTTGCAGCGGGAGCATGATTCGGAACGAGCGGGGCCCGAAAATGAGGCCCGTGCCTCAGCGAGAGCAGCATTTTGAAACAAATGCAGGCGAAAACCCAACTCCTGGGAATCCTGTGTGTAAAAAAGCAAGACGCGGGGGGGGGCGAACACTCCCAGCACGTCATCAGGGGAAGAGGGAGAGTAGTATTCATATCGAGTAATTGTAGAGGGAGGGAAGCAGGGCGGGGGGGGCGGGGGGTGGAGGGAATGGGGAGGGGGAGGGGGCGAGGATGGGGGCGGGGAGGGAGGGGGGGAGAGCGAGCGAGGGGGGCAGGGGGGGGGTATCAGCGAGAGGAGCAGGGGGGCAGCAGGCCAGGAGCCGGGAGAGGAAGGGAGGAGGGAGGAGGAGGAAGGAAGAGGAGGAGGAGGAGGAGAAGGCAAAGGGCAGGTGCGAGGAGGAAGAGTAAGAGAGGAAGCGAGGGAGGAGAGGAGGAGGAGAGATGGAGGAGGAGGAGGAGGAGCGAGGCGAGGAGCGAGGAGGAGCAGCGGGGGAGGGGTAGAGGAGCAAGGAGGAAGATGAGGAGAGATTACAGGAGTGAGGAGGAACTGTGAATACCTTGGCGAGGAGAAGAGGAGGAGGAGAGGGAGGAGAGGAGGAGGAGGAGCGATGAGTTGGATGATTGAGGAGGGGAGGTGAGGAGGAGCGAGCAGCATGAGCGAGGAGGACCTCGACGAACGAAGTGAAGAGAAGGTCCGACGAGGAGCAGGGGTAGAAGGATGAGTGAGCCGAAACGTGGTGTAGGTGGGAGTGATGGGGAGTCCGATGACCACAGTACGAACGAGCGACGATGAGGAAGTCCAACGACAACGAGACGGAGCAGGAAGAGGAGGAGCGAGAAGGAGGACGGGGAACGAGGAGAAGGAGGAGGAGGAGGAGGAGGAGGGGCGAGGAGCGAGGAAGAGGAGGAAGAGGAGGAGTGTGTGAATGAACGCGTACGCAGCAGTTTGCAGCAACAAGCAAAGTGCACAGTACCAAGCAGCAGTAAGAGAAATACTGAACAGCATCAAGCAGCAGCGAACCATCGCAATGATTAGTATCAAGAGCAAATGGTTCAAGCAGCAGCGGCTTTCGCTGTGCTCAGGTGAGCTTTTTCTTATTCATTGTTTTGCCGATCGGCGCGGGTCGTCCTACCCCCTCCCCCTCTCATGGAGTAATTAGATCTTGGCTGTTTTGGGCGCCTGTTTCGAGCAGGTGGAGTCTCCCCCATAGGGCGCACTGTTGCAAACAGTCGCATTAAGCAGAGGTCCGGAGCCAGACCCCCCCCCTCCCCACCCCTTCCGCCCAATGTCGGCACGCCGAATAAGAAAACGCTCACCAAAAAAGTGTTTGGCCGCTGCATATTTTGCATGTGCTCAGTGATGGCGGGCCGTGCGAGCTTATCTCCACGGCCTCAAACAAACACGTTGGCAGACGACCAGGTGGTCGTCCTCGCAATTCTGTTGTTGCGTTTTGTGGATCCTGGGACGTCCCAAGACGGTCTAAGAAAGGAGGGCCAAGACTGTTGGCCCTGGCGTCTTCAGTCGTTTTGGCGGCCTCTGAGGCCGCCAAGACGGCTGAGGAGACTACTACGGAAGACCCCAAGCATTTGCAGATGTTTGGAAAGACGACCCGAGATGTCCGAAGATGTCCCAAAAAGGCCGTGATACGCAGGGGCTTTTCAATGCACAAGGAGAGAGTCAGGCTGCCAGAATCGCCAAACTCTTTCCGGACATCGTGATATGATTGGATTCGTTTTGTCTCCAAGAGGACGTCCGAGGGCTCCACGATTGCCCGAGGACTTCCCAAAACTACCAAACATCCTCAATAAGCCCACAAAAACAGCCAAGTCATGTCTCTGGAGGGGTAGAAGACGGACCGAGAGAGCTAAAAGACGGCCCACGACGGCGCCAAGACGGCCCAAGAGGGCACTCATGGGCGCAAAGAGGCGCCAAGACGGCACGCGGAGAGCCCAAGGGATCCCCGCGATGCCCTCGAGAATTTGCCAAATGGCTCCCAAGAGGCGCCCCAGAGGCACCTCAGACGGCACAACAGGGTCCAGCGACAGCTTGCAGAAACGGATCACGCTCCATGATGAGCAAGAAGGCCCTTTACACCGCCCAGCTAATCCCAAGAGATTGGAAGAAACGATCGAGAGGTCTACAGATTGCCAAACAGAGGACCCAACGGCAAGTATCAAGCACGCAGCAGAAGCAAACAGCAGCACGCGTGATAGCCGCTGAGAGTGATCCATCAGTAAATACATTGTGTGCTGGGCGTTGGTGGTTGTTTCGGGCGTGAGTAGCTGCCGTGGTGACAGTGGCAGTGATTTGGGGAGTGGCATTAACAGTGGCAATGGCACAGCGTTACCAGTCATCAGGAGGCATGGCCCCTTCGCTTCAGGCTAGCATGTATTCAGCGATGTCAGGGTCCTTGCCCGATGATCAACAAACCTGCACATGAAATGACTTGCACGTGCAACGCAGGCTCAATTGTTGATGTTTGCTGTCGGCCCAAGGTTGTAATCATGTCCGCGTGGCATTGAGCGCATTCGCAGTGCGGGTAGTTG